GTAGACCTAGTCTAGACCTTGTGTAGACCTGCGTAGGCCTGCGTAGACCTGCGTAGACCTTGTGTAGACCTTGTGTAGACCTAGTGTAGACCTACGTAGACCTTGTGTAGACCTGCGTAGACCTTGTGTACACCTGCGTAGACCTTGTGTAGACCTGCGTAGGCCTGTGTAGACCTTGTGTAGACCTTGTGTAGACCTTGTGTAGACCTAGTGTAGACCTAGTGTAGACCTACGTAGACTTTGTGTAGACCTGCGTAGACCTTGTGTAGACCTTGTGTAGACCTTGTGTAGACCTAGTGTAGACCTGCGTAGACCTTGTGTAGACCTTGTGTAGACCTGTGTAGACCTTGTGTAGACCTTGTTTAGACCTGCATAGACCTGTGTAGACCTGCGTACACCTGCGTAGACCTTGTGTAGAACTGCGTAGGCCTGTGTAGACCTTGTGTAGACCTTGTGTAGACCTGCATAGACCTGTGTAGACCTGCGTAGGCCTGTGTAGACCTTGTGTAGACCTACGTAGACCTTGTGTAGACCTGCGTAGACCTTGTGTAGACCTGCGTAGACCTGCGTAGGCCTGTGTAGACCTGCGTAGACCTTGTGTAGACCTAGTGTAGACCTACGTAGACCTTGTGTAGACCTGCGTAGACCTTGTGTACACCTGCGTAGACCTTGTGTAGACCTGCGTAGGCCTGTGTAGACCTTGTGTAGACCTTGTGTAGACCTGCATAGACCTGTGTAGACCTGCGTAGGCCTGCGTAGACCTTGTGTAGACCTGCGTAGACCTTGTGTAGACCTGCGTAGACCTTGTGTAGACCTTGTGTAGACCTAGTGTAGACCTACGTAGACCTTGTGTAGACCTGCGTAGACCTTGTGTACACCTGGTGTACACCTGCGTAGACCGTGTGTAGACCTACGTAGACCTTGTGTAGACCTGCGTAGGCCTGCGTAGACCTGCGTAGACTTGCGTAGACCTTGTGTAGACCTACGTAGACCTTGTGTAGACCTGCGTAGACCTGCGTAGACTTGCGTAGGCCTGCGTAGGCCTTGCGTAGGCCTGCGTAGACCTTGTGTAGACCTACGTAGACCTTGTGTAGACTTGCGTAGACCTGCGTAGACCTTGTGTAGACCTACGTAGACCTTGTGTAGACCTACGTAGACCCTGCGTAGACCTGCGTAGACCTGCGTAGACCTTGTGTAGACCTACGTAGACCTGCATAGACCTTGTGTAGACCTGCGTAGGCCTGCGTAGACCTTGTGTAGGCCTGCGTAGGCCTGCTGTAGGCCTGCGTAGACCTAGTGTAGACCTACGTAGACCTTGTGTAGGCCTGCGTAGGCCTGCTGTAGGCCTGCGTAGACCTGCGTAGACCTGCGTAGACCTTGTGTAGACCTTGTGTAGACCTGCGTAGACCTTGTGTACACCTGGTGTACACCTGCGTAGACCGTGTGTAGACCTACGTAGACCTTGTGTAGACCTGCGTAGGCCTGCGTAGACCGTGTGTAGACCTGCGTAGACCTGCGTAGACCTGCGTAGACCTTGTGTAGACCTTGTGTAGACCTTGTGTAGACCTGCGTAGACCTTGTGTAGACCTGCGTAGACTTGCGTAGGCCTGCGTAGACCTGCGTAGACTTGCGTAGGCCTGTGTAAGCGAACACGACACAGGTCTGGCTCCATTAAAGAAATACACAAACCACTCACTGGAGTGGAACCGGCAAATGAATGATTGGAGGAGCTAAGTTAACGCACCACAAGCGGAAATCGCTAGCTCTGAGCCCGCACCGTAAACTATTCACGTCGCTGAACACACGCAGCCGCGGCCATGGAGACTTGCCATGGAGACTTGCCATGGAGACTTGCCTTGGAGACTTGCCATGGAGACTTGCCTTGGAGACTTGCCATGGAGACTTGCCTTGGAGACTTGCCATGGAGACTTGCCTTGGAGACTTGCCATGGAGACTTGCCTTGGAGACTTGCCATGAAGACTTGCCATGAAGACTTGCCATGGAGACTTGCCTTGGAGACTTGCCATGGGGACTTGCCATGGAGACTTGCCATGGAGACTTGCCATGGAGACTTGACATGAAGACTTGCCATGGGGACTTGCCATGGAGACTTGCCATGGAGACTTGCCATGGAGACTTGCCTTGGAGACTTGCCATGGAGACTTACCTTGGAGACTTGCCTTGAAGACTTGCCATGGAGACTTGCCATGGGGACTTGCCTTGGAGACTTGCCATGGAGACTTGCCTTGGAGACTTGCCATGGAGACTTGCCTTGGAGACTTGCCATGAAGACTTGCCATGAAGACTTGCCATGGAGACTTGCCTTGGAGACTTGCCATGGGGACTTGCCATGGAGACTTGCCATGGAGACTTGCCATGGAGACTTGACATGAAGACTTGCCATGGGGACTTGCCATGGAGACTTGCCATGGAGACTTGCCATGGAGACTTGCCATGGGGACTTGCCTTGGAGACTTGCCATGAAGACTTGCCATGGAGACTTGACATGAAGACTTGCCATGGAGACTTACCTTGGAGACTTGCCATGGGGACTTGCCTTGGGGACTTGCCATGGAGACTTGCCTTGGAGACTTGCCATGGGGACTTGCCTTGGGGACTTGCCATGGAGACTTGCCTTGGAGACTTGACATGGGGACTTGCCTTGGAGACTTGCCTTGGAGACTTGCCTTGGGGACTTGCCATGGAGACTTGCCATGAAGACTTGCCATGGGGACTTACCATGGAGACTTGCCATGGAGACTTGCCATGAAGACTTGCCTTGGAGACTTGCCATGAAGACTTGCCATGGGGACTTGCCATGGAGACTTACCATGGAGACTTGCCATGAAGACTTGCCTTGGAGACTTGCCATGGGGACTTGACATGGAGACTTGCCATGAAGACTTGACATGAAGACTTGCCATGGAGACTTATCTTGGAGACTTGCCATGGGGACTTGCCTTGGAGACTTACCTTGGAGACTTGCCATGAAGACTTGCCATGGAGACTTGCCTTGGAGACTTGCCATGGGGACTTGACATGAAGACTTGCCATGGAGACTTGCCATGAAGACTTGCCATGGGGACTTGCCATGGAGACTTGCCATGAAGACTTGACATGAAGACTTGCCATGGAGACTTACCTTGGAGACTTGCCATGGGGACTTGCCTTGGAGACTTGCCTTGGAGACTTGCCATGGGGACTTGCCATGGAGACTTGCAATGAAGACTTGACATGAAGACTTGCCATGGAGACTTACCTTGGAGACTTGCCATGGGGACTTGCCTTGGAGACTTACCTTGGAGACTTGCCATGGAGACTTGCCATGGAGACTTGCCTTGGAGACTTACCTTGGAGACTTGCCTTGAAGACTTGCCACCCAGTGGAATCAACCGGGTGGGGTAAAGCGTGCGGCACTGCCATGGTTATCCCAGACGTGCTGGGCCCAGCGTGGAAGAGTAGGCCAAGTACCGCACTTGTGGAGGTCAATGCAGGGTGTGTGTAGGGTGTGTGTGTGTGTAGGGTGTGTGTGTGTAGGGTGTGTGTGTGTGTGTGTAGTCAGTGCTGAGTGTGGGTGTGTGTGTAGTCAGTGCAGGGTGTGTGTGTGTGCAGGGTGTGTGTAGGGTGTGTGTAGGGGGTGTGTGTGTAGGGTGTGTGTGTGTGTAGGGGGTGTATGTGTAGGGTGTGTGTGTGTAGGGTGTGTGTGTAGGGTGTGTGTGTGTGTATATATAGTCAGTGCAGGGTGTGTGTGTGTAGGGTGTGTGTGTGTGTGTAGGGGGTGTGTGTGTAGGGTGTGTATGTGTGTAGGGGGTGTGTGTGTAGGGTGTGTGTGTGTAGGGGGTGTGTGTGTAGGTTGTGTGTGTGTGTAGGGTGTGTGTGTATAGTCAGTGCAGGGTGTGTGTGTGTGCAGGGTGTGTGTGTGTGTGTAGTCAGTGTAGGGTGTGTGTGTGTAGTCAGTGCAGGGTGTGTGTGTAGTCAGTGCAGGGTGTGTGTGTAGGGTGTGTGTGTGTGCAGGGGGTGTGTGTGTAGTGTGTGTGTGTGCAGGGTGTGTGTGTGTAGTCAGTGCAGGGTGTGTGTGTGTGTGCAGGGTGTATGTGTGTGCAGTGTGTGTGTAGGGTGTGTGTGTGTAGTCAGTGCAGGGTGTGTGTGTGTGTGTGCAGGGTGTGTGTGTGTAGGATGTGTGTGTGTGCAGGGTGTGTGTGTGTGTGTGCAGGGTGTGTGTGTGTGTGTGTAGTCAGTGCAGGGTGTGTGTGTGTAGTCAACATCGCCACCCACCCGGGAAGACAAAGGCGGCCGGGCGTGGGGGCCGGCCACTCGAACCTCCAACGTGCACCGTGCCGGCCTTCATAGGCGGCTTTCATAGGCGCTGCTGCTGCTCGCCAACAGCACTTGCCCTCAACGTCTGTGAAGGCTACACGGGGGATCTTTGTCTTTGTGAGTGAGGAGTGGTGGCGCAGCGGTTAGTGCACCGATGTGGTGCGTAGTGAACGTCAGCACTGGGGAGACAAAGGCGGCCGGGCGTGGTGCTGGCCACCCACCTCCTCGTGTGCCACAGTGCCGGTAGCCTTCACAGGTGCTCGCTAACAGCACTTGCCCCACCATTCTCTTGAGGCTATACAGGGCGGTTGGGGATCTTTGTCTTTATTTTGTTTGTACTGAGTTGTTGTTGTTGTTGTTTGACCCCGTGCCGTGGTGAACAAAGAGCTTCCTAGCTCATCAGATTCCTCCTCCTCCAGTCTTCGTAAAGATTGTGTTGTGCATGCGTGTATCGCGTGCATGCGTGCGTGTCTTCTCTAGGTCGACTCAGCCTCAAATGAGTACCTGGTCCGGTGTGTAAACATCGCCACTGGGGAGACAAAGGCGGTCGCGCGTGGTGCTGGCGAACCCACCCCCTCGTGTGCTGTTGCGGACTTCACAGGCGCTCGCTAACAGCACTTGCCCCTACAGTCTGTGAAGGCTATATGGGGGAACTTTGTCTTTGTGTCTTCTCTGGCCCTCAGAACCCCAATGAGTCGCTGCACTCGCACAGCCCCGACTTGAGTCCCTGCTTCCAAATGTCGGTGCTGGTGTGGGTACCCTGCCTCTACCTGTGGATCAGCTGCCCCTTCTACTGCGCATACCTGCACCGCCACAAGCGAGGCTACATCAGGATGACACTACTGTGCAGGGCCAAATTGGTGAGTGTCTGCGCATGTGGAGTGTGCGTGTGAGTGAGTGTGTGTGTGAGTGTGTGTGAGTGTGTGTGTGAGTGTGTGAGTGTGTGTGAGTGTGTGAGTGTGTGTATGTGTGTGTGTGAGTGTGTGAGTGTGTGTGTGAGTGTGTGTGTGAGTGTGTGTGAGTGTGTGAGTGAGAGTGTGTATGTGTGTGAGTGAGAAAGTGTGTATGTATGTGTGTGAGTGAGTGTGAGTGCGTGAGTGTGTGTTAGTGTGTGTGTGTGAGTGTGTGTGGGGAGCGATAGTGTAGCGGTTGGCGCGCTGCACTATGAACCTGGCGACCCGGGTTCGATTCCCGCTCACGGCCAACACCACCGGTGACGATTATCTGAACCAGTCCCGGGCCTCCCCTAGGTCGACTCGGCCTCAAATGAGTACCTGGTGCAGTGTGTAATTATTGCTAGGGAGACAAAGGCGGTCGGGCGTGGTGCTGGCCACCCACCCCCTCGTGTACCATTCCGGCCTTTATAGGTGCTCGCTAACAGCACTTACCCCTACAGTCTGTTAAGGCTATATGGGGGATCTTTGTGTGGGAGTGAGTGTGAGTGTAAGTGTGTGAGTGAGTGTGTGAGTGAGAGTGTGTGTGGTGCCGGACGGGCAACTCTGTCGTGGACAGAGTTGCCCGTCCGGCATGAGGGGAGGGCCAATTCCGATTGGCCTCTCCCCTCATGGCGTCTGTGACCACCACAGTGGCTAAACGGGGGCTCTGGACGGGTGCGAGGGGCTGGTAACCCCTCCACCTTGAATTAATTACCACTAAACCACGAGTTAAACTGAAATATGTAACTAATAAGCTTGTGCCGGAGGCCCCGGGGGGACAGGCGCCTATGATGTCTCCTGGCCAAACCCCAATTGGCAGAGCCAGGAGATTGAATCTCTACCCTCGGGGCACCTCCAGAAACAACGAAAAACCACTTCGTGTGGCCACGTGGAATGTTCGAACGCTCACTGCGGAGGAGAGGCTGCCACTCCTCTGTCGGGAGCTGGACCGGTACCGCCTGGATCTCTGTGGCATTCAGGAGGTCCGGTGGACCGGTTCTGGCTCCTGCCACCATGAGGGGTGGACAGTCCTCTACTCGGGGCAGCAGACTGCCAAACTACAGGGTGTGGTTCTTCTTTTGAACAAAAGAATGAAGGGTGCGTGGGAGCGTAGCGGTGAGGTGTGGGAAGTTGTAAGCCCCAGGCTACTTTGGGCTCGCCTTCCCATCAACTGGAGGCGAGGAGTGGTGGTCGTGGTTCCTTATGCCCCCACCGAAGACGAACATCCGTGGAGGGATGCAGGCAAAGCCAATGAGTCAGATGCCTTCTATGACCTCCTGTCACAGGTGCTGGCTAAAGTGGCCCCTCGGGATAGGGTCATCTTGTTGGGTGACTTCAATGCCCGAGTTGGTCATTATGCTGTCACCTGGTCTGGAGTGATTGGAGGGCATGGGCCAGATCAGCTCAATAACAACGGTAGGAGGCTGCTATCTTTTTGTGCAGCCCATGGGCTTGTAATTACCAACACGCTGTTCCGGCATCGGCGCATCCACACAACATCATGGATGCATGCCGGGTCCAAGCAAAAACATCTGCTGGACTACATAGTGACGGACCAGCAGATGTGAGCCCATGTCCTTGACACCAGGACCTACCGTGGGGCTGATTTGCCCTCTGACCATCGACTAGTCATCTGTAAGATGCGCCTGCCATTCTTCCACTGGTGGGTGTACACCCAGGACCCCATTCCAACCTAAAGTGGCCTGGTCTCAGTTAGCTGATTAAAGTTGCAAGCGAGAATTTCATCATCGCTTGCGGCTGGGGTTGGCATCGTCCCCCACTTCTCCTGATGTCGAGGGTAAATGGGCGAGGTTTAGGACTGTGACTCATGCAGCTGCAATGGCTGCTTTGGGTATGCGGTCCAGACCTCCCCATAGACCCTGGCTGACAGAGGAGGTGTTCAGGATGGTTGAGAAAAAGCGACAGGCCCACTGTCATCGGGGACAGAATCCCACGTCAGAGAATGAGGAGGCTTACCGCAGCCTTCGCTCGGAGGTTCGGAGAGCCATGAGGCGCTGCAAGGATGGGTGGTGGTCGCGGGTTGCTGAGGAGATGGAGTCTGCCTCAGTGGCCCGCGATCACAAATTTTTATTTTAAAAAGTAATATGCAGCGCCACACCTATTACCATCATTAGGGGAAAAAACGGTGTTCCAATCTCCCACCCCCAGGAACAGGTTTGCAAATTTGCTGAGCATTTCTGTGAGGTCCTGGGGGAGGGGAAACCCCTCAGCCAGGAAAACATCGTGGCACAAAGTGGGGATGACCCTGCTGAGGCTGCGGTGCCTCAAATATTGGATGAAGTCACCCCCTGTGAGTGGCTGGCTGAGGTGCCATCTGTTGAGGAAGTACTGAAGGCGATCCAGAGTCTGAGACCAGGAAAGGAACCGGGCAGAGATGATCTCCCAAGCGAAATGCTGAGGAAGGGTGGCGTTTGTGCACAGACTGCCCTATATGACATCATAACAACAGTCTGGACCACTGGACGGGTTTCGCAGGATTGGTGGTCCCCCTCTTTAAGAAGGGGGACCGCACAGACTGTAACAATTACAGGGGCATCTCACTCTTCAGTGTGTCTGGAAAGGCCCTGGCAAGGATTATTCAACATCGCCTTGCCAGGCACGCTGAGGATTGGCTTGCCGAGCCCCAATGCGGTTTCAGGAAAGGGCGGTCCTGCACAGATGCCATATTTTCTGTCCGTCTGCTACAGCAGAGGTGTAGGGAATTCCAACAAGACCTACATCTCTGCTTTATTGACCTGGTCAAGGCCTATGATACCATCAGTAGGCCTGGGCTCTGGGTTGTTCTCCGCACTTTTGGAGTACCTGACCCTCTGCTCACGATCATTAAGGACCTTCATGATGGTGAGCGGGCCCGGATAAAACTACGTGGCCGGGAGTCAGAGCCATTCCCTGTACGCCTTGGGGTGCGACAGGGATGTCCTCTGGCTCCAACATTATTTAACATCTATTTTGACCACGTAGTTTGTGAAGCCTTCAATAGCTGTACCGGGGGAATCTCCATATGGTACAGATATAATGGGAGGCTGATCGATGCCCGGGTGCGGTCAAGGGATGGCTCCCTATTGCTCAACCACGTTATGTATGTTGATGATTTGGTAATAGCTGCTCATTCAGAGGAGGAGTTGGAGACGCTGCTGCTGAGCCTGGAGCGTGCCACTAATAGGTGGGGACTTACCATCAACCCCACCAAAACTAAGCACCTGCCTGGCTATTTGTACCATCGAACACTCCACCCCCACAACTCCTAATCGGTGATGGGGCAGTTGTGGAGAGAGTGGAGAGTTTCCCATACCTGGGCAGTGTGCTTATGACCGGCTCCAGTTTAACAGCAGAGGTCTCACTCCGAATCAGTCAAGCGGCAATATATTTTCATCGGTTGCGTAACGCTGTGTGGAAGCTACCTGGTCTGCCGCTCCGCACTAAACTTCAGGTCTTTTTGGCCACGGTCATTCCCTCCCTTCTCTACGTTTGCGAAACGTGGACCCTTCTAATGGAACATCTTCGCCAGTGAGAAACATTTAGGCTGGCCTGCCTACGATCCATCCTGGGTTTAACCAGACTGGATTGTGTGAGGAGCTCACAAATCCTTGAAAGATCTGGGCAAGGTCCCATCGGTGAGCTCCTCCGGCGGGCAAGGCTGCGATGGCTGGGTCATGTAGCCCACATGCCCAGCCACCGCATGCCGAAACAGCTTTTGTTCGGCCGGATCGAGGGGGCTAAACGGGCGCGGCACGGGCTAGAGAAGAGATGGAGTGATGTGGTACAGAAGGACGTGGAGCTGAGTGGACTTGCCGATGACTGGTACCAGCGGTGTCAAGATCGGCCTCTGTGGAGGAGGCTCGTGAAGGACGCTACTGGGCAGTTGGAGGTAGTCGCCCTCCAACAACAACGGAGGGCGGAGGAGCGACGCTCAGAACAACGAGCGGAGCGCCGGGTGGCTAAAGCACAGCAGGTTGGCACAGTAGGGGGCACAGGTGGTGCATCTGCCAGTCATCTCAGTCAGTCGACCCACGGCACTTGCTGCGTCTGCCCCGTGACCTCCTGCCAGCGGGCGTTTGACACTTTACGTGGCCTCAAAGTGCACCTAGCCTGGCACAAGCGCCGTGGTGACGTCACCGCCACCGGCGGTTGTTGTTAGTGAGTGGAGTGGGCGTGGTGCTGGCCACCCACCCCCTCGTGTGCCACAGTGAAGGCCTTCACAGGTGCTGCTGCTGCTGCTGCTACTCGCTAACAACACTTGCCCCAACAGTCTCTTGAGGCTATGTACAGGGGAGCTTTGTCTTTGGGGCGGTAGCGCGCTGCACTAAGAGCCTGGCGACCCGAGTTCGATTCCCGCCCACGGCCACCACCAGTGACGATTATCTGAACCGGTCCTGCCCCCCCCCCCCCAGGTCGACTCAGCCTCAAATGAGTACCTGGTGCGATGTGTAAACATCGCTAGCACTGGGGAGACACTAACTTGGACTCGGACTAAGTTCCATTTCGCCAGGCAAGGCCCGCTGTGGAGCGACCTGGCCCATCACAAGTGATAGCTCAACAATGCGGGGCCTTTCACGTGGAAATGTCCAGCAGCAGACAAACATTCTCGAGACGCGCGATGCCGATTCGAAATGTGGAGATAAAAAACGGGAGACCCTGGAGAAAAAGCCACGTGACCACGGTGGGGGGGGGGGGGGGGGAGGCGGGGGGGGAGACATGCAGACTCCAGGATTGAACCCACGACGACCTCCTGTAGACCTGGCGAGGTCGTTAACATCTCCCCACCCACACCAAGGCGGCAGGGCGTGCCGCTGGCCAGCCACCCGCCCATACCCTCGTGCCGGCCTTCGTAGGCGCGTGCTAACAGCACTCGCCCCAGCAGCCTCTAAGCTCTACACGGGGAGGCGGGGGAGGGCTTCTTAGTC